ATGAGTTCAGCCACTTTCCTTGGGGCAGCCGACACTCCATGCAGTAAAGCAGGCGAGGACGGCGGGGTAGTGGGTAGCCAGACATCTTCCAACACTCTGACTTGAGTCCCCGACCCGATTTGCCAACGCAACCCACGAGCAAGCAAATCCCGCCCTTCCAAGATCCCTTGCCAAGCCCAGGAGGGCCTAGAGCCCTTGGTTGCCGCTAGAAATTGGGATTTTGGGTGATAGCGGGCTTTGTACATCTGACTTAAGGTGTTGTCCGGGTTCATGAGAATTCGCCACGCCTGTTTGGCGAGCAAGGCCACATTGAACCGGTCAAAGTCTCGGAATCCCAGGCCCCCTTCAAACTTGCTTTGGCAGGCTGCAGTCCAAGAAAGCCATCTAATGCCATTTTCCTTGTCTTGCCCTGCCCACCAGAATCTGGACAGCAAGCTATTGCACCGCCGACAAGTGGCTTCCGGGAGTCGAAAGGCCGACATCGTGTACACTGGACCTGCAGCTCCTACCGCTTTGATGACTACTTCTTTTCCTGCAAGAGACAAAGACTTTGCTTTCCAGTTTCGGATTCTAGCCGCTAAGGCCTCCTCCACAAACCGAAATGTTAGTGTCTTAGATCGGAGGACTTGCGAGGGGAGCCCCAGGTACTTGTCTCCTACACCCATCCTAGCAACTCCCAAAAAATCAGCAATCTCATGAAGTTCCAACTCGCTAACATTACTACTGACACACAAAGAGGACTTGTGCAAATTAACTTTCTGCCCACTCATGATTTCATAATCAGCAAACATGTGAAGAAGATTAGCACACTCCGGCCGGGAAGCACGAAGGAAAATATAGGTGTCATCAGCAAACAGAAGGTGCGAAGTCATTGGCGCCGACCTATGCACACGCAGGCCATGGAGGGAAGAAGCTGAAACCTCAGCGAGAAGCCGAGCAGAAAAGGCTTCGGAGTAAAGAGCAAACAATAGGGGGGGGGAGAGGGTCACCTTGCCGGATTCCCCGCTGAGGTTGGAAGTATCCATATTCAACACCGTTCATGAGAACTGAGAAGTGCACTGTGGTTATGCAGGAGTGTATCCACTTGAGCCAGGTGCGAGAGAATCCCATCGCCTCTAGGACAGCAAGCAAAAAGTTCCACTCGACACGATCGTACGCCTTTTCCATATCGAGCTTGAGTGCCATCCACTTCTCTTTCCCCTGCGTTTTCGTTTTGAGAAACTGCATAATCTCTTGTCCAACCAAAATGTTATCAGTAATCGAACGACCTTTGATAAATCCATTCTGATACGAACTCATAATGTTAGGAAGAATGGAGCTTAAACTCCCAGCAAGGATCTTAGCAATTATTTTATACAAAACCTGACACAAGCTGATGGGCCGCATCTGCTTCATCGAGTCCGCATGCGGAACCTTAGGGATCAGAGCAATCCATGTATGATTGATGCTTTGGAGGAGACGTCCCGTGATGAAGAAGGACAGGACTGCCTCGCAGACATCACCTTCAATCTCAGTCCAAAACCGCTGGTAGAAAGCCCCTGTGAATCCATCCGACCCGGGTGCCTGGGATTTGCCAATGGCGAATACCGCCTTGCGGATCTCCTCATACGTCACAGCCGCTGTGAGGAATCTGTTCGCCTCGCTGTCGACAACCTGAGGTAGGTGGAGTTGGCTAACATAGTCACTTGGGTCATTACCTGAGGAGGTGAAGAGCACTTTATAGTAGTCAACAGCAATCCCACCCTTCTCATCTTCATTGGAGTGAGGTACCCCCTGTTCATCTTTCAACATGAGAATGGAATTTGTCCTTCGCCGCTGCTGAGTAGTGAGATGGAAGAAGTGTGAATTTGCATCCCCAGTTCGCAGCCACCGGACTCGGGATTTTTGCATCCAGTACCGCTCCTCTTCCTTAAAGGCTTCTCCTAGTTGCACTTCCAAGTCTTTAATGTATTCCCATTGCACACTTGGAACCTCCTTGGCCAGCTCAATGCTCTCCTTAAGGCTTTTGATCTGCCGAGCTGAGTTGGAAGTTCCATTTCGAGCCCATTACACTAACCCGTGCTGCAAGTTCTTAAGCCGAGATTGAAGTTTGAATTGGGACGTCCCTCTCACCTCCTTGGACCAAGATTGTTGGAAAATGTCCGGCACTTCCGGGTTCGTGTCCCATCTCAGGTCGTAGTGAAATCGTCTCCCGCTGCGGTTTGCTGCCTTTACAAATTGCAGCATCATCATCATGTGATCGGATCCGAGATCCGTTAGGTGTCGAACCTGCAATTCAGGCTACGAGGACAAAGCCAGAGGGTTAGCTAAACACCTATCAAGCCGTTCCAGTATATGTCGATTACCTGATTGGCGATTAGACCAAGTGAAGGGAGCACCAACACAACCCAAATCTGAAAGATTAGTAACAAGTAAGAAGTTATGGAGTTGATCAAACGCGGCCGGGGGGGTGGCCATCCTCCCTGCTTTTCAGCGGACGAAAGCAGGCAGTTAAAATCCCCCATCACGAACAAAGGTAGATCGCACGACAAGACAAACAAGCTAATTTCATTCAATTGATCCTCCCTAATATTTACAGCACAACTAAGGTGAACAAAGATCACCACAAACCTGCCTAAACCTGGATGTAAACAATCAACAATAATGAAAGAGGGGTTGGGAGATGACACTGTACATGTAACCTGATCCGACCAGGCTACTGCCAAATCCCCCCCTCTACTACGACCCTGATACGAATGGAAATGCTTAAAACCTAGACTCTTAAGCTGACCCTCAACAAAGTCATCATCTCGCTTCGTTCCGCTGAGCAGGATAAGAAAGGGCAAGTGTCGACGGAGGGCATCCCTTAGCGAGGGAATTGTCAGGAGGGAACCCAGGCCCCGACAATTCCATGCCAGAACACTCATTTGGTCGTCGGGGACCAATCCGGGCTGGTCACCTCCACCCTCAGCTGCCCTGCATCCGGGCTACCAGGACCCTTGCTCTCTGTCCGCAGTCTCTTTGCCACTGGCTCAACAGGTTCCGCCACTTCCCCTTCCTCTGTGTTCAACCCAGCAGCAGGAGGGTCAGCACTGGTCTTCATGGACTTCATTTGATCCAGGTTGCTAGCACCAGCACTGATGACAAGTTGCTTCATCCGGGCGTTAACCACTAGCGCGCCTGCTTGTTGGGAAGTCAAGCCCCAACTGTCAGCAACCTCCTTCCTCTGATATGGGGCTCGAAGCCAGGTGAATTTCCTCTTTTGCACCAGGGTTTGCTCGTTCAGCCTCGGGCCTTTCTCCCTGCTCAAAGTGGATCTCCCATATCGGGGGGCCTGGTGTCCAAACTCCTCCCTGTTTGGGCAGCGGTGGCCTGGGTGGCCGATGATCCCGCAGAGAAAGCAGAACTGAGGAAGCCGCTCATATTTCACCAGAACCTTGAACGCACCTTTGGCTGAAGCTTCATGCTCCGCGAGGATTTCGTCAGGCAGTGGGGCGGTTACGTCCAGCACGACCTTAACCCGGAGGAAGATTTTCCCGGATCCTTCAGATTGGTGAATAGTTGCTTGTTCCGCCGGACCAAGCGAAGCCCCCAGCAGGTATCCCAGCCGCTCTGTGCAGCACTCATAAGGGACCCCCCATAGTTGGAGCCACAGGGGAACCTTGAGAAGAGCCTCCGCAAGAGCAGCAGACGGGGCTTCCCAGGGAACCAATTGAATTAGGTATTTGGGTTGGAACCAGGGGGAGCCCCGACGGACGCGATTGAAGTCCTTGGCAGAGGAGAAGACCACCTGTATGAGTTCCCAATCCAGATGCACGAAGGAAACCTCGCCGGAGCATTTCCAGATTCGCAGCAAGTCAGCCTTGAGGGCATGGAGGGCCGGGCGGGGTCCGCAGACTCGCCCAATCAGGGTCAGCCCCTCGCGATTGAGACCGACAGCCACATCCGCATCAGAGAATCGGACTACAACCATTGCAATTGGGGAACTAGGTTTAGAGAAAATCTGAAGCACAGGGAGGGCACGAGCTCTAGGCTTCGCAATAAGAATGGATAGCTCCTGGGATTCGCCTGATGTCGCCTTTATAGACTCCATGGCGAGAAGAATCTGGCCTCGTCGCCGCCGAGTGGCGGAAACCCGCAATCGGCGACTACGCACGATACGGTAACTGCTACCCACTCGCAGAGAGGGGAGACGGGCGAGAGAGAATCTCTTTTTTTTTTCTCGTGCTACACATATATTCAGGAGTCTTCCTTTTCCACGTTCATTATTGCAATTTCTGACAATTGATAAATTTGTCATAAATTCCATAATAAATGACGACTTTTGTTTTGTCAGATTATATTATTTGGATATTATGACAACATGTCTGTGTCATTTTTGTTTTGTATTATGACAAATTTGTTGTCAAAATATACCATGAATGACACACAAAAATTGACAGAATTGAACCCTGTGTTCATAGTCATAACTAGAGAATCCAATCACATTAAATAAAAATAATCCTTCAATCCAAATCCAAACATTCAATTCAGTACCATCTTGATTTCAACATAGTCTTCCAACAAAATCCAGAAAAAGGCTTCCGAACAAGTTTAGCGTTGGTTCACCATAAAGGAGAACATCCTACGACAAAATGGACAGTTCATACTTCTAATTTTTAATATCTTCCCATGCCATCAAATCCTTGCTCCTAATAATCTTCAACATCTGTAAGAAAACAATGAAAAAGAAGATAGTTTGTCACTTACTCACATCCATGTTCAAGTGACAATTAATCTAAATAGTTGTTGTCCCAACACACAACTCAACTTGAGAACGAGACATATATAAATTCAGCTCCTTTAAGAACAATGGACTAGGAATATAGATAGTTACCTTCGACTAAAGGAATCCATGGTCATTTCCGATTTAGTGTTACAGCAAATGACTCCATCTGCTGCTGAAGTTTCTCTTGTGATTCTCGTAGCTGCTGCACTTCCGCACCTTGCATTTGTAACTTCTCCTCCTGAAGTTGTATTTTCTAATCCTGAATTTGTATCTTCTCCTCTTGGGATTGTATCTTGGCCTCAAATTCCTTTGTTCTTCTCTCAGATTCAGCTCTTTCCTCTTGCAATTCTGCTTCCAGTTGTATCTCTCTTGTCGAACGAACTGTTTCCTTTGGTCCATACTTGACCTTTTTCTTCAACACCATCTCAACAATCTCACGACCAGATAAGGACTTCCCATCTTCTTTTGCTTGGGTATGAATGGCTATCATCTCCTCCAGCAGTAGCTCGGCCTAAATCATCCAGCATATCAGGAATGTCAGTATCTATCACTTCAATTTCATTCTCAAAAGGAGAATGCGGCTGGTTTGTGTTGCTATTGCTGCCAACCTCAAATGGCTCGCCATGATGTATCCATCTAGTATACGTCTCCACCATGCCATGCCTAAATATCTCACTTTTCACCGTGCTTAGAACTTTAAAGTAGCAATTATTGCACTTTTTACACGAGCATCTTATTCTACCAAGTTCATCAATATGGTTAGTTGAAACACTTATAAATTCCTCAACCCCCGCTTTATATTCTTCAGAAAATCTATTCTTTAGCTTCATCCAATCTTTGTTCATTTTCACTATGCATAAAGATAAGACTAACCTTCACTGCTGGGCTGTTTTGGGAGTTCCTAGATCACAGTGAAGAATGTCAAAATCACCTGCACATATAAGACCCATTCAACATGAGCAAACCTATTACTTCAACTCCTGAACAAGTTGTACTTTAATGACTTAACACATGTAAAAACAGAATATAAGGATCAATCACTCCCTATATTCAATTAAAAATAAAATTGGAACATAAGTTCTTCAATTTGGCTCTTATATTAACTTCCCTCTCAAATCAGGGCCAAAGAAAGGATTCTGAGGCCAGCCCCATGTATGTTGCACTTACTTCATCTTTAGTTATTACTTGGCAGTTTTTATAGAGGCAAATTCACCCTCACATATGTTTTCAATCATCAAATCAATCTCTAGAAATAGATTGAGCAAGAATCTAACACAAACTCACTTTGTTTAATAGAAAAATCAATACAATGACCCTAAAACAAAGATTCCACCAATCTAAACCCATACACACATACATAGAAGCACTTATGTCTCGAAGGGAATTCACACAACCACGAAAGCACAAGCATGTGAGAACAAAATCATAACCAGCCTTGCCTCTTGAAAAGCAAACTTATGTACAAGGAGGATGATGATGATATCAACGTCCTAAACAAATGAGAACAGTACAAAAACCTTAAACAGAGGAACGAGGAGCATGAAAGAAGGATGTTGTTTCATACCGACTAAGAACTCCGAAATCAATTTGATGCCGGTAATATCTTCCTTTCTATCACGATTCCTTGGCTAGTGATTTAGTAGGCTCGAGTCTGTGGAGGTGTACGAAAGGGTTAGAAGGAACATCGAAGAGAAAATCCTTTGATGCAGAACAGAGGAAATTGAAACAGGAATTCGACTACTTACATGCGCCAAAACCAATCCGCCGTCAGAGTAGCCTTTCGAGATACTCGATTCCCTTCCCGGAATTGACTGCGCACGAGCCTTTTGGGGAGACAAAAGGGTTTAACCAAAGTAAATTTTGTGGGCGTAAGGGTTTCCGAGAGGGAAGGAAAAGGGGGACTTCGATCGTCTAATGAAGTGGTATTTTTCTTTTTCTTTTTGTTTTCTTGATAGAATAATGAATGGCTGTTAGCAAAACGACATGGTAAATGAAATAATGTCTTTTGCCCTTTGTATTAATGAATGATGATTTGGTAAAGAAAATTTGATATATATATAAATTAGTTATTTTTATTCACATTAAATCATAGGTAGTAATGTTATAACGAATAGGGAAAATCGACAATGCAAAGTTTATGAGTATATATAGTTGCCTCAGAACAGAAACCCAAATAACATTGAGATAATATATATACCGTGGACCGGGGGCGTTGCGGTTGATAGTCCGATTCAAGTCAAATTAACACGTTAAATTAACCTAACATCCCCATATTGGGTTATGTATAATGTACAATTTAACCGATTAGGACTCGAGTTTGTGCAATTGCATATAAGTCTCTAAGTTTAGGCGATTAGATGTTGAGTATGTCCCTTATAGGTTTACAGTTCAACGCCTATGAGTTGAGATTTTGAACTAAATTAGTGTTTAATTTAGAGTCGCAGGTAAATGATTTACTGACTTTTGTTTGTCATATTAAATGAACACCCAACACTTAATGATATTTTAATGATATAGTATACTCTTCATATTAACTCCTATGAATAGTTAATTTGACAATCTATATTGTCATTTTAGACGTTTCATTCTTCCCTCCATTATTTCCCGCCATTACTAAATTCATATTGTGACAAATTTGCAAACTGTCATTTTAATGATAAGTACACTCTTCATATTAACTCCAATTAATAGTTAATTTGACAATCTATTTTGTCATTTTAGACATTTCATTCTTCCCTCCATTATTTTCCCGCCATTACCAAATTCATATTGTGACAAATTTGCATACTGTCATTTTAATGATCAAGTACACTCTTCATATTAACTCCAATTAATAGTTAATTTGACAATCTATTTTGTCATTTTAGATATTTCATTCTTCCCTCCATTATTTTCCCGCCATTACTAAATTGATATTGTGACAAATTCGCATACTGTCATTTTAATGATAAGTACACTTTTCATATTAACTCTAATTAATAGTTAATTTGACAATCTATTTTGTCATTTTTGACATTTCATTCTTCCCTCCATTAGTTTCCCGCCATTAATAAATTCATATTGTGACAAATTCGCATACTGTAATTTTAATGATATAGTATACTCCTCATATTAACTCTTGTGAATAGGTAATTTGATAATCTATTTTGTCATATTAATAATTTTTCATTTAATAATTTCATTTTTCCTTCATAAGTTCCTGCCAAATTGATATTATCAATAAACATAATATGACTCATCATGCTTTGTCATATTATATCATCTCCTCTGTAATTGATGTTGGACATTATGACAAAACAAGTTGTCACAAAAACTATCGACATTATGACAAACCCCTAATTTGTCACATAATACAGCCCACATTTCCCCCCAAAACCTCCCGCCAAAAAGCCTTCTCATCAACACACTATTACGACAACGAGACTTGTCACACGAAACATCGTATGCTATGTAATGTGACAACATAAAATATGACAATAAATGTTGTCGGATTATATTGTTCTATTGTCATCCCATCGCGATTTTTATGCCAAATTACCAATGACAAAAAGATTTTCATCATAATAGAATGTTAATGTGACGCATGTAAATGACAAAAGAATAACTTGTCACAAAAGATATGGCAAATATGACAATGGTTCTATTTGGCATATATGGTAATATATTGTGACAAAAGATAAATGACAAAATAAAATAATTGTCATACTAGAGCAAATTTGTTGTAGTGCGAATCCAGTGCTCATGGAAACCCAACTTCCTCATCATTTTCTCTAAAAAGAACCACTCAACTCTGTCGTACGCTTTCGCCATATCCAGTTTTGCCGCAAAAAACCCTCTCTTTATCCTCTTATCCTTCTTCTTCATAGAATGGAAGCACTCAAAGGCTGCAGAGCATTATCATAAATAGATCGCCCAGGAACGAAAGCACTTTGGATCTTTGAGATGATCTTGTCCAGGATAATCTTGAGCCTGTTCGCCAGCACCTTAGCCATGATTTTGTACAATACATTACAAAGACTTATGGGCCAGAAGTCCGCTGGCGACTTGGGATTCTTCTTCTTGGGGATAAGACAGAGCAACATATGATTGAGGGCAGATGGAACTTCACATGTCTCAAGAATGTTCAGCAATTCTCCGCAAACCTTGCTCTTCATTATCTCCCAATTAGTTTTATAAAATAGTGCAAGGAAACCGTCATCACCTGGGGCTTTGAGGGATCCCATCTGGTTCAGTGCAACCTCAATTTCTTCAGCTGTGAAGCTTCTTGTTAGCTAGCTATTCATTTCTGCAGTCACCCTTTACTTAACTGCTGACACTACTTGCTCGCTTTCCGGTTCTCCACGGATCTGTAATAGATTCACATAGAAGCTTCGCAAACACGAGCTAACCTCCATCTGGCCCAGATGAACCCGCCCTTGGCTGTCAATCAGCTTCTTAATGGAATTCCGGCGATGGCGTTCTGAAGCTCTGTTGTGGAAAAGCCTTGTATTTCTATCTCCTCCTCTCAGCCAGAAAACTCGAGACCGTTGAAGCCATTTTTTCTCCTCTTGCGTTAGAATCTCGACCTTTTCCGCTTCCAATCGTCTCCTCCTGTCTACCCAGTCCCCTATCTTTTGCTCACTCTCCATCCTTTCCAGAGATTGGTTAATTTGCTTCAATCGCTCTTTGACCTTCCCAAACTTCTCGCTGCTCCAGCTCCTGAGCTTCTTCTCGCATTTCTTCAGCTTTTGATCTACGCTGGCAGCCTCATTCTCTTGCCATCCATCTAGGACCACCTTCTGGTAATCCTCGTCATCTTCCCAAATGCTCTCATATCTGAACCGCCATAGCCATCTGACTTCTTCGCTATCTCCACCCTCCGTATCCACAAGAATTGCTCGGTGGTCCGAGTCAAACCGGCCAAAATGTTTAACAATTACCTCTGGGTACAGGTCGGCCCAACTAACATCACTCACGGCCCTGTCCACTCTTTCTTCCGTAAAATCTTCCTTTTTCCTTGAATTATCCCAGGTAAACGGATACCCTATGAAGTCCAAATCTCCCAATTGTGTGTCTGCCAACACATTATTAAACTCCTGCATTTCCTTCTCATCAGGCAGCACGCTACTTCGCTTCTCATTTACGTTGGCAATTTGGTTAAAGTCTCCCAACACAAGCCATGGGAGAGAATATTGGCTATAAAGATTACGAAGTAGTTCCCACGAACGATGTTTCTGCCCACTCTCCGGCCAGCCATAAAACCCGGTAAGTCGCCATTCGATATACATGTCCGGACATTTAATAATGCCGTCGATGTGATGTAATGTAATGAGAGCGTTTTCAGAGTAAAATCCACATCCTCCTCCCATAAAATTGCAAGCCCTCCTGCTGTGTTACGAGCAGCCACACTCAACCCATTCCCAAACTTCAATCTTCGTTGAAACTTCTTACATTCAGATTCAGAAAGCTTTGTTTCAATTGGAAACAAAACTTGGGGAGCAGCCTGCTTCACAAGCTGGGAAATGGACGCCTTTGCCTCGGGATTCCCCAGTCTCCGGCAATTAAGGCTTATGATTTTCATTGTGATAGGTGGCGTTGCTCTGTGGCAAGGTCCGCCTTTGGGTTCGGAGCGATTCCTCGAGCAGCCATTTTTTGTTTTTTGTTTCCTTCCAATCCCACCTTCTGTAGAGTTTCTTTCTCTTCCTCCCTCCCCTTTCGCTTGCCATCCTCTTTTCCTCCCAGCACCTCCACCTCCCTCTGAATCTTATCTCTAACCAACCTCTTCCAGCTGCCTTTCAACTTATCCACTGTCGCTGCTTCACTATTGAATTGGGTTTTTTCATCTATATGGGCCTGGCCCAAATTACTAGCCCCCGCCTACAGACCCGTCACGATCTCAATCTGGGCCTCCCCTATCCAATTCAATTCGCCCTTCCTTGGGCCCAAAGCTGACTCTTTGCCCCTTGCTGGGCTAAGCGACTCCTGATTCACTCCCGCTGTCTTTCCATATATTCCTGCCCTTTCTTTTGAGGAAACTAACTCGGCTTCATCCCTGCCTACCTTCTCGTTCGCTTCCTCCTGCAGTACGCAGACATCCTTTCCTCTTATATCTCTGCTCCCAAATCCCTCGCCTTCCTTATTTCCTTCACTCAGATCCATTCCCTCAATCTCGTTAATCTTCTTTGGACTTTCCTTTTTTCCGGCCAATAAATCTATCAGCTTGATTTTCGCCTTCGGTTTTCCATTTTGATTGTCCTCTAATTCCGGTGTGTCTCTGGCATCCTTCCTTAAACGTATCTCGCCGGAGACTCTTGTCTGCCGGAGCTCCGACCACAGACTTGCCATTCGATCAGCTTCTGTACGCTCGACAAAACTCACCTGCTTCAACGGGGAAGCATGCAGCCATTTACCGTATTGCTCGTCCGATCCTTCCTCGTCCTCTGCTTTCGGGTTTGGGCAAGTTCTTTGTTGATGGCCGAGTATACCACAAATGTAGCAGAAATTTGGGAGTCGCTCGTAGGTTATTCTGTACCAGGCTTTCTTGTCGCCGTTCTCCAGCAAAATCCCACGTCTCAATGGTTTCGAGACATTGATGGACACTCTAAGTCTCATTGATGTACTCCATACCCCCGACCGGTGATTATCAAGAATAATAAAGGTACCAATCAGGTTGGCGATCTTTTCTGCCATCGCCTCTGTTTTCATACAGCGAGGTAGCTTTTTAATCCGGACCCATATCTCTGTCTCCGTGAAATCCATCTCCAACGGCTCTTTATCCCTGTCCACCGGTCGGAAAATGAAGGGTTGCCGATTGAAATGTCTTGGTCCCCCATACAGGAATTTCTTCCTATCATCGAAACTGTAGAATTGGAGAGCATACACTGACTGCTCTAGCCTCTGGATCTCGAAGCTTCTTCTGAGGTTCCACGCTTGTTTCATCGTAGCCAATAGTGTTGCCAGATTTGGGTCTTTGGGGGTTATAAGCTTGCCCACCAAACCCAGTTCTTCAATAGTTTCATCCATCCCGTTGTCAAGATCTGTCCTTTCCACTTGGACTCCCTGCGCCTCCTCCTCCGTTAGACAGAGGCTTCGCAGCTGTTCATCAATCTCATCCGCCATAGGAGCTAACTCTCCTGACACAACTTTCAAACAAGAAACTGCTACCCTTTACAAGTCACCGTATCAAAACGAGGCTGAGAAAGAAAATGGGGGAAAAACCTACGGACAAGATCCGAGGTATAGAGCTGACCGACGGCAGCAGGTAACCACAGACTCCACTAAGCGGGAGAAGGAAAACGGCGCTCTCCTACAGAGAGAAAGAAACTTCCAAGTAGACCCATTGATTATGGGTAGGGTATGAGTGACGTATATATGGGTTTGGAAGTTTGTAGAAGAGTTTGAGTAGGGTATGAATATTTACTTCCATAATCTAAACGTGTATGAGTTGGGTATGGATACCCATTTATTCAAGGGTGTTTTAATTATACATACAAAAATTAGACCTATTTGTAGAAATTCAAAGGATTAGGTACGAAAATGTAATAAAAAAAATTTAGGTACTAAAATGAAATGTTCCATCAATATTCTGATGACTTATATGCCAAAAACTAAATTAAGGTTATAAATCTAAAAATCTATTAAGTTTAGGTACCAAGCTATAATTTGCATAGTTGAGGCTTAATTCCTTTTATGGTGACGTATTTAAAATGATAATTATTTTTTTTTTTATAGAAAAATAAAAACTATTTATTTGATATATGTAGTCTTGTAGATATCTAGCCAAACAATTAATGTATAATTGTTGAAAACTCTAGCCCGGGTGAGAAAGAAAAACTCTAGAGAGAAGCAAAATGAATACAAACTATAACTCGTTTAAAATTTCACGCCTTCAAATCCCATAGTGGTAAATGATGATTTTCTAATAAGTAATAACCATATTTATTTATTTTTAATTGGACTCGACATTGAGCTGAAAAAATTAGTGGTTCATGGTTCAATTTTTGTTTATAATGGCGATAAACTATTATTACCAAACAAAACATACATGTACAGTCGCAAGAGATCACACTTGATTATGATTCAATTATTAATTCTCTAGACGGTTGGGGAGCCGTGTTAAGTATGGACCTGTTCATACTTGTTATTAGAATACATAAAAAATGTATACTAATTTTGGTTATTTTTAATGTTTCACGTAATGAGCAAACATTAAATGACATTATCTTCTCTTACAGTTGAGTGATACAACATCTTGTATGTTACAAACTAAATTTATACTTATATGTTATGGTGGATTGGATTCATGGATTCAAGTGAAATCTAAACATTGGACCAATATGTAATTTAAAAAATTGTAGGTACAAACATCTTGTTTGTTACCAACTAAATTTATACTTGTATGCTATGGTGGATTGGATTCATATGTGTAAAAAGATTGGTGAATTGGATTAATGAATTTAAGTGAAATCTAAACATTGGACCAATATGTATATTTTAAAAATTGTAGGTACGAAAATCTCATAAAATTTAGATACCAAAACATAATTTTACATTAAAATTAAATTTGGGGTATCAAAATGTAAATTATTATATAGTGACTAATTAGTAATTTTTTATGCAACACTTCACCTTTATATATTCTACCATTTATTTATGGAGGTTCTCCATCAAAACATACTCAATTCAACTTTTCTAACTCTTAGAGAGAATTTAGGAAGGATATTTTTGTCATGTTAATTAACAAATAATAAAAAAAACTACGCATATAACCCCAAAAAAAGTGAGGGTGTGCCTATGGTGACAGGCATGTCATGGTGACTTGCACTTTCCGGTCGACCTCAGTTAGAATTAGGTCGACCTCATATAGGATCCGGTTGACCTAATCTGTTGTTTCAGTGTAAAAACAGTTCATGGTGCCTACTTTGGATATTCATATCATACAATTGGCTAGATGGAAATTGAAGACTAATGACTTGTTTTGAAGCTCGAGTGTCCCTCTACATATTGAAGTGATTGAGAGCTCGATAGGAAGTCCAGAAGACCATTTTTGAACCTCATCAAAAGACTATGCCAAAACTGGGAAACTACCTAGAAATGGCTAAGTCTGGAAACGTGTTTGTGAAGCCTATTTTTTAGCTCAATTCGAGAAGCATGAATGCGAGTCGAGTCCAGGAGCCTCTACCACGTTAAATTAGGTATGTTTTTATACAAATTCAAGGAATTGGATGAAAGGTTGGATATCTTTAAGGCTTCAAACAAAAGGGTCGAAGTTGCTACGAAGGCTGTTTTTCTGGCAGACTTCGAGCACAAGCAAGCTGCCAGAAAAACAGCCTTCGTAGCAACTTCGAGCCTTTTGTTTGAAGCCTTAAAGATATTCAATCTTTCATCCAATGCCTTGTCTTTGTATAAAAAAATACGTAATTTAACGTGGTAGAGGCCCCTGGACTTGACTCGCATCCATGCTTCTCAAAATGAGCTCCAAAGTAGGCTTGACAAACACGTTGCCAGACTTAGCCATTTTCAGGCAGTTTCCCAGTTTTGGCATAACCTTTTGGTCAGGTTCAAAAATGGTCTTCTGGACTTTCTATTGAGCTCCTAAGTACTTTAATGTGTAGAGGGACACTTCAGCTTCAAAACAAGCCTTTTAATCTCCAATTTCCATCTAGCCAATTGTAAGATATGAATCTTCAAAGTAGGCACCATGAAACTGTTTTTACACTGAAACAATTGATTAGGTCGACCTGATCCTATATGAGGTCGACCGAAAAGTGCATATCACCGTGACATGCATGTCACCGTAGCAAAGTCCAAAAAGTGAATGTTAGCATGGCGTCCAAAAGTTGAACTCAAGTTTTAATTAGCTCTGAGTAATTTTAGTTGAACTCAAATTCTTTCTTTATTAAATAATTTGACAAACTAAAGACACTATTATCACTCACCATCCTCATAATTAATTATTATATCATTTTATTTAATAAATATTTTAAAAAATAAAAGTCACAAGAATAATAATTTTTATTACAATTTTTTAGACATCTAATTAGAGGTCTCCACTAGCACATTCTATCTTCCTAATTTTAAATACCCTAACATTACTAAATGATATGTATATTCTCAGTTTAATTTAAAATTTACATATTTTTGCATAGATAATTTATATTTCACAATGACATCATTCAAATATGATTTAAATTAAAAAATTATCCTTCTAAAATCATGATCACAACCACGTATTAGGTTCCTTGACTACAATGATACATAGCACACCAATATAGGATGAAATTTATACAAAACATTATTTTTTTAACCTATACCAAATGGTATGTATATCTTTCATTTCAATTACAAAGTTACATATTTTAATATAAAATTTAAATTAATGTGATTTACACGATGATTTTTGTTTTGATATGGTTTCAAATAAAAAATTATCCTTCTAAAAGACATGGTTGCAGACATGTCTTAGGTTCCTTTACGATAATAATACATAATTACAGCAATATGGTATGAAATCTATAAAATTTGAGTATAACTTTGGTAACTTGATAGAGTACAACTGAAATCATTGTGATGTTGTTTTTATAGCACAATAATATTCAAAAGCTACATCCGTGTGATAATATTGTTGATAGACATGCATTTTTTGTTTTGTTTTATAACATAAAAATTTGAATTTATTTACAATCAACTGGGTATATTTTTTAGCCAAGACTTGGAAAATAGTATATTGAATATCTCTGGTTTGCTTTTATAAAAAAATAAATGGTAAGTATTAGTAGTTATTAATTATTTTGTATTTTTGGATTATCTATGTCATGGGTCTTATCTCTCAGTTTCTTCCATATATTATTAAGGATTGACAATATTTGTTTCAAGATAACATGGTATGCATGCCTTTGAGAACTTCAAAGCGAGTAAACCAACATTAGATTACATGCCAATTTCAAACAAATCGGTAATCATGTTTCAATCAAATAATATGCTCCAAGCTTGCGATGATATTCCGACATTTGAAGTTTATAAGTATGATTTCATCAAATATGATGAAATTTAAAATTTTGCTTTGAATGTAACAGGGGAGCAGAAGAAAGAAACTATTGATGGTGGAAATAGGTTTCATTAATAAAGATAAATGCGATGTTATAGGTTGAGATGATAATGTTGCTTATGACGAGCAATCAAAAAGAAGTCAAAAAACAAATTTTGAGTAGTCTTTGACATCAATGAGTAAATCAAAGTGTGGTTTAATTATGCTTTTTAGAAGTGAGTTCCATTTAATGGGTTTATTTATTTATTTTAAATAAAAACTTTCGTCGATTCATATCTTAGGATAACATAAAACTCTATGATATATGTTTCTTTCTTATTTTTTTATTCAATCATTTGGATTTTTATGGTTCCAAATATAAATTTAGATTGCTTAATATAATTATTATTGTTATTTATGCTATTTACGAATACATCCGTCCAACGGGCGGGCCATGATCTAGTAGTAACAATGACTCTTCCTTTTTGTATTCTGTTTGTTTTATATCCAGCTTATGACTCCAACAATGAAGCATCAAGAAAAAAAAAAGGCCTCAAAGTCCTTTTTTTCCCCCTAGGAGTTCTCTTCATTTGATGTTTTGTGCATGAATGGACTTCATCACTTAAATGCATGATGTACAATTAACAGTGCTAGGACAAGTCATTCGACAACATTGACCTGAGAAACATTTGAAACCAATCTCTTCAGAGTGACACTTGCTTATCGTCACCCGAGTTCAAGGCTTCAAAGAGCCAACCAGAACTTCCTATTGGCACTCCAAACAATAATGCTAACGTATTACCAGAACATATGCCACAAGCTCAAAGAAGCAACAATACTTTGCTCCTCCTAGCTAGATTTCTACTGATACCTTCCACACCATTTTATTTCCTTCTTCCACGAAAACAAAATCTAGAATAGATCATCCTTCCTATCTTTAAGGTAAATACAATTTAATATCCAAACCTTTTATTTCAAACAATATAATAGCCAAACCTTTTCGAAAACAATATAATATCCAAATCGTCAACTTTCCGTTCGTTTGACCGTTAGTTGACACTCCAAGCGCCAGTTCTACCGCGAGACCGACGTCTACGGCACCATCGACTTCATCTTCGACAACGCCGCGTACGTGTTCCGGAGCTGCAGCCTGTACGCTCGCAAGGGCGGGTCGTACCCGAACAACTTCGTGACCGCCCAGGGCCGGTCCAGCGAGTACCAGAACACGGGGTTCTCGATCCACAACTGCCGGGTCGAGGCCGCCCCGGACCTCCCCGCGGGATCCGGGTCCACGTATCTGGGCCGGCCCTGGAAGGAGTACTCGAGGACCGTGGTCATGCAGTCCCAGCTGGGGGGACACATCAACCCGGTCGGGTGGTCCGCCTGGTCCGGTGGGTTCGCGCTCAAGACCCTTTACTACGCGGAGTACCTGAACTCCGGACCAGGGGCGGGAACTACCGGTCGGGTCGGGTGGCCCGGGTACCACGGTGCCCTGACACCTGCCGATGCAGGGAAGTTCACGGTCGGGCAGTTCATCACGGGGAACTCCTGGCTGCCGTCAACCGGAGTCTCGTTCGACTCCGGTTTGATTGGTTAAGCAAACAATGGGACCATAGTTTAGGGTATATTTTCTTTCATGGATGGTTTTTTTTTTTTTACATTTCTAACCCTGTATTTATACTTCCTTGTCTAAAGGGATTATTTGAACATGAATATATATGTTCATATGTAACTGTACATATATTCTATATTTCGTGCTTATCATTTACAAACGATTAGAAGATGGCAACATAATTGATTGGAAATCCCAACAGAACCATATATTCTATAATAATAATGCTAATAATAGATTCGTGAAGGATAATTACGATGGAGGAAGTCAGTGATCATATGGGTAGTACGGTGTCAAGATGTCATTATCTTTCATAATCCATATAGAGTCCTCCTAATTAATGGGTAGTTATGACTTATTTATATATAGGTGGACTGCTACTCACATAGGTTTCGTACTTTTCTTTTTTTTTTGCCATCTATTTGTGAAATTATTATTATTTCGACAAGGTATCGCGTTACAGAATTATAACAAACTACGGTCACTATGACTATGGTTGATCGATTTTGAAGGTTAAAACAAAATGAAGGGATGTTGTTGATAGGGGGTTTACAATTCTTATCATTTCAAAATTATCTCAGTCGCAAAACGTTTATAATTAACAAGAAAATCATATGATTCTCCGGGGGGAAAAGCATTAACGATTCTATCTTTTCGCATTTCTGAAATTTGCTCAATACAAAGACAAATTTATGGCGTAAAAAATACAACACGATTAGAAGAAAATAACTTTATACCATAGTGTATTTAACACAAAATTCAATTGGGGTTTATCGTTACGGTTTAATACCAATGGGTTTCTTGTACGAGCAGACTTTCGGATCAGACCTGTACCAAGCTCCATATTTCTGGATTCAATTTCATAGAGACCGGGCTTGGAAGGCCCACAAAAGAACTTCTTAGTAAATTACAGGGCCTAACAGCGTT